GATGATGGTTCTTGCATTGTAAAAGTAGGATTATTCCTTTTGTAAAAACTTGCTGATAAAATTATTTTTTTAATACAATAATAACCATTTTTCTAGTACAAAGAAAAATCATAAAAGGTCAAAATGTCTTGCTTTTTTATACAATCAATATTATCTTTTGTTATGCATTGGCAAGAACAATCGATCTTTTACAAATATAATGAGATTGCTTTTTGTTTTCTTGGTGCTTAATCACAACATGCAAGGGAAAGATTAAATAATAAAAAGATAAGTAATGTTTTATTTGTTTTATTCAACTAAGAGAAAAATACATAATGATTTTAATTTATATATATAAATATTAATATAATGATAATAATAATAATAATAGTAACAATAATTAATAATAATTAATAAATCAAATTCACGATCATCTTTTTATCAAGAAATTTCGAGATCAATAAGCCATGAGCAATTTAACAGTTCAGCTTTCTGAATTGATTCATCTAGTGGACAACTTGTATAAAATGATTCTGGATAATGTTTATAATTTTTTGTATCTAACAAGTATTTTTCTGAATGGATGATTTTTTGTCGCTTAGCTTCTGCTAATTTAATAATTTTTTTTTCTCTTTTAGATGAGTAATAATATTTTCCAAAACAATTATGAATTTCTTCAGCTGTTGGTCTATTTTCTGGATTACAATCCCAACATCTTTTCATCAATTCAGCACAAAATTTAGGAGTATCATCAGTGATTTGAGGTCTAACTCCTTTTAAAATATCTAATATGAGATGATGATTATGTTCTTTATCATGAAAAGGTTTTTTCCCTGAAGTATGCTCCCATATTATCATTCCAAGACTGTAAATGTCTGATTTTTTTGTATATGGTTTTTTTGATAATACTTCAGGTGCCAGATATGGAATGACTCCATAGATTTTATTTGGATTATCTTTTTTGACTACTTGTTGACATAATCCTAAATCTCCTATTCGGCTATCATTAAGAGAATATGAAAAAATATTACCACTGTGCAAGTCATGATGAATGTAATTACATTTATGAATTTTCTTTAATCTAATTTATAAAAAAATATATATTATAATTGTTTACTACATATTTATATAAATTCAAAAAACCCACCCTTCTGAAATCTTATATATTGAATAAATTTTATGTTCCCAAGTAATTTCTTTGAAATTTTTTAATAAATTATTATGTAAATCTCCATTTGGGGCATAGTCAAATACCAATGAGTAGTTATTCTCATTTGGATCTTTAGTAACTCCATAACATTTGTTAACAAAACGTCCAAATTTATTACTTGTTTTTAACTAAAAATTATTATGATTATATTATTATTAATATTTACATTTAATAATAATAACTTTTATAATAGATCAATGTTTACCTCTCTTAAAACATCTAAAATTTGATCATTGGAATTATATAACTTTTTTAATACAATCATTCTATTTTCAGTAATCCACATTGCTTTGTGTACTTCCCCAAATCCACCTTTAGCCAAGTATTCAATGTTTTTAAATTCATTGAATGGAATCCATTTCATATAATTACTATTACCAGCATTTTGTTTACATTCATCAAGAAATATAACTATTTTTTTATTTCCAATTTTTTTTGTTTGACAACTATCACATAATATTATTCCATTTATTTTGTAATGTATATTGTTTAATTCATTACCTAATTTATGGATTATTTCTGCTTTCCTATCTTCATTTTCTTTCTTGTCTAATTCTTCTGAGATTTTTTTTAGTTCATTTAATGATTCATAAAATAAATCAAAATAATTATATCTTATTGTACAACTGGTACAATTTTCTCTTATTTTTAATGTGTCAAGTAATTGATTTGAATTAATTGATTCATTTGATTCATTTAGTTTGGTGAGTAATTCACATAATGGGTTGAATATATTTTTCTTTTTACACCTATCACATGATATCCTATTTATTTCAAAATCTAATTTATTTAATTCATCACTTAATTGATAGATTATTTCTGCTTTCATATCTTCATTTTCTTCCTTTCCTAATTCTTCTGAGATTTTTTTTAGTTCATTTAATGATTCATAAAATAAATCAAAATGGTCATACCTTCTTTGTACACAACTAGTACAATCTTCTATTATTTTTAATGTGTCAAGTAATTTGTTTGAATTAATTGATGCATTTGATTCATTTAGTTTGGTGAGTAATTCATATAATGGATTAAATATATTCTTCTTTTTACACCCATAACATAATACTACTATATTTATTTTAACATCTAATTTATTTAATTCATCATCTAATTTATGGATTATTTCTGCTTCCCTATCTTCATTTTCTTCCTTGTCTAATTCTTCTGAAATCTTTTTTAGTTTGTTTAATGATTCATAAAATAAATAATAATAATCATATCTTTGTGCACAACTGGTACAATCTTCTATTATTTTTACCTCCCCC